GAATTAATTGGAATTTTTCACACACAAGCCTTGCTATATGAGCTCTCAAAGCATATAAAAATTATACGGCTTAAATGTGAAGTTGGGTGCAAAAGAATACAATTAAATCCTCTGTCGGGAAAAAACGAAATGACTTTCCGAAGAACCCTATATTTTGTATGTTTTTTATTGCTCATATAATTGTCTAAAAAATGGCGCTGGTTAGAAACCGGTAAGTGCTTTTGTTTAATAACAAACCGTGTTCAAAATCAAAGAAATTAATTATTTTACATTAAATATATCGGGAAGAAAAACAGCCTGAAATTTTCAACAATTGTTACTTATAACAACATGTAAAACTGCTCCAAATTTTAGAAAGATCGATTGTTAACTTTACGAATAATGAGCGATCGATTTTTTTCTTCTTAATTGCAAAATGTTTTGTACATATTTTTTTTTCTACTGAAACCGTTGGAATTTTTGAAAAATATCGATTTGGATCGATTTTAAAACAATTTTTTGGATATCACCTATATTTGTCTGACGTACAAAACTTTTGAATCTTTAATCGTCCAGAAAAATCAGTTCAAATCGATATTGTTCAAAAATTCCAAGGGATATTAAATTTAAATAGTTTTTTGAATTTTCTGGCTTGGTTTCAGTGGGAAGAACTATTTACAAAACATTTTACAATTAATTATTATTCGTAAAGTTAATGACCGATGTTTCTGAAATTTGATGCACTCATATATTGTTATTGGTAAAAGGCATCGATCGTAGCGACACGCCGTGACAATAATTCGAATCAATCCTATCGGGTCAAATACGCCACGTTTCCATACGAAAACATGTGTTACAAGTTAATTTTGAAGCAATGTTTTTATCTTTGAGTGAAATTTTGGAGTTCTTGAACTCATCAATAAAAAGCCGTAATTTCGTTGAAGGAGAGAAAGTTGTGAATGCTGGTCATTTAATATATTGTGGCATATTAAATAATATAAATAATCGATATGAGTTACGCTGAGAGAGTTTATATCATTATTTTCTGCCATTGGAAGGTCAGAACTTGTTAAAATATTTTCTTCATCGTTTAGGTTACCACAATTTCCATTTTGTTGGTTTATATTAGCTTCAGTACGATTTTTTTCTCTATTTAATCTTAATCTTAATCTTAATCATACTTCTATTAATTCGTTTCTGGTCATCTGAAGGCTCTTTTATATTACATGAAGGCAAATTACAGGAAGGTATGGCATCTTTCTTCAAGAATTTGAAACCTTTAAAAATAGAGTCAACATGTCTCATTGTCCACAAAATTCAAAATATTGATTAACGTAATTAATATTTGAATTAATTTTAAATAATTAGTTATAGCTTAAAGTAATTATGCAAAAAAATGAATATTTACCAGGTGGAACATAGTCACTTCTTTTAAAATGTAACTAACAAACTTGCATGTGCTGAATTACTGTTTCCCCAATTTTTAAAACTTCTTGCCATTTTTTAT